GTACGGAGAAAGGGCATGGAGCCTTCTTCTACTATCCACTCTTCCAACTCCTCTAGTCTCCATAACTCAAGCTTCTGCAATTGAGGAAACCCACCCCTTGAGCAAACCATGCTCCTTCCACAATAAGACTCACTCCATAATCTAACTTTTTTCAAGTGAAGCAATTTCTCTAGAATGGGCATTGGGTCCTCCTTCAAACCACTATATGATAGACACAGGCTTGTTAGGAGAGAAGGAAACTGTAGTTCATCAGAGAGCAATGGAGTATTTATACTCAACTTCAGCTTTTTGAGATTATTGAATTCCAATAGAGTGCTCCATTCTTTTGTCCCCTTATCCCCTTCATATACTATATCAAGACTTTCCAGGTGTATCAATCCATCTATCGATGCAGAAAGAGCTTCTAAGCTGGTCTCATCATCAGTCATAATGATTCCAAGAGTCCTCAATCTGGCCATACCACGAAGATCCTCTAAATCGCAATACTCTGTTGAGAAATTAATCAACGTCTCCAAGTTTACTAAATGATTTAATTCCAACTTTATCACCTTTCCCATATCCCTTGGTAACGCAAGGAACCTCAATTCTTTCATCCCCAGTAAGAATGTGTGTGTGGGTAAATGAAAACATCCAATTACATTTAAATTTAGATAGATCAGCAGCTTTAGATTTTGTAGAGAAGGGAGAAGATGAAATATCATTGCACCTTCTAAGTTCAGATATCTTAAGTGGATGAGCTTTCCAATGCTATTACATAACCCCATTCCTTCAAAATTGGCTCCAGGAAGTTGTAGTACTCTCAGAAGTTGCAATCTTGTAAAGCCTGAATTCGAAACTCTCCATAAAAGCGAGTTCGTGATGACCACTAGAGATCGAATCTTTGAATTATTAATATCTTTCTCAACATCAAAGGTAGTCGGATAATGTGAGACAAACCTCCGTGATATGTTAAGAGACTGAGAGTCTGAAGTCGGAGAGCTGATACCAATAATATGTAGAAAATTCTCTTCTTTGGCTTTAGACAAACAAATTTCTCTCATCATGTCATGTAAACTGCATGTTTCAAATCTCCAACTGGTTTTGTCTCTTTCAGATATAACCATATTTCTTCTCACCAACTCCTCAATGTAATTATCTCCAACATCTCGAATCCTATCTCTATTGTCATACCTTAGTATTCCTTCTGCAGCCCAGTAATAGGTCAAATCTTCTACTTTTATCTTATAATCTTCTGGAAAATGAGCCAGGTAGAGGAAGCAATACTTCAGATAACCAGGCAACTCTTCAAAGCTTAGAGACAATATATGGTTAAATGAATAACTGTTGTCATCACTGGTTCGACCAACGAGATGAGATCCAATGTTCTCAGATAACCTTTTCCAATTGTGAATTGTGTATTTTTCAGCCAACAATCCTCCTAACACTCTGACAGCCAAAGGCAATCCCCGACAATGTTCCATCATTTTCTTACCCATTTTTTCCATTTCCTCATCATCTTGAGTCAGTACTGCACAAATCATAAAATAAACAAATAATATGGCAATTCTTTTAAAGGACAACTAGAACTTGACACACGAGATTAGTTTTTATCTTTTCTAAATTGTTTAATAATTTATTAAAACATATAAATATAGGGTATTTATATATTTTTAGGTTTCTACAAACCTATCTGAACTCGGAAAATCCGACTCAAATTCTGTCTGAAAATTTATAATAACCGAACATAATTTAATTTTAAAATCCAAAAGAATTGATACCCGAAAAACCAATGTGTATCCAATGTGACTTGAATGCCCATGGTAACTGATTATGTAAATAAAACATAATTCTTTATCAACCATTTTGAATTCTTATGCAACTCACTTATAGCTTTGTTAATAAAAAATAATATTATGCCTAATTTACAATTTTTATTCGTAAATCTAAGTACGAAAATTAAACTGGAAAGCTATAACAAAACTAAATATATATATTTATCTCTGATTTTATAATAATACATTGTACTAAACACACTTAATCATATAACAAAATTAACCTATTTATTAATGAAAGAACAACAGTATTATCCATGTTAATGAAATTACTAAAAAGACATTAATTAAAGACTATTACTATTATCTTTCCAAACAACACTATTGCTTATTTTTATACTGCTATCCATATTTCCAAACATTTCTCATTTGTATTTCAGTTTTAATAATATAGATATTTTTTACATAAAAGCACACAAAGAGAAAATGATCAAAATAGATTTCTAAAACTTAAAGAGGTAAAAGACTTTATGCCCTTACTTTATTTATATATAAATATAAATAATTAAAAATATATACATTTTCTTATTTTCAGATAATACGTTTTTCAATTTGAACTATTTATATTTATTTTTTTTGAATTTGTTTTTTCTAAAAAACAATTTTTTTTTGAAATTCAAATTATTTTTGAAACTATTTTAAATTTAAATAATTTAAAAAAAATCATAACCCTCCCCCCTCGAAAACCTCATCTTTCAATTCTAAAACATAAGTGTAGATTAGTTAACTTTAGTGGTATAACTGTCTATTTATTTATTAACAAACATTTTGGTCATTTAGAAATTTGAGTACTATTTATGATAAAAAAAATATTTAAGGAATTTTTCTAAATAATATCTCATTAAAATGTGATAGTCAATTATTTAATGCTAAATATGTCTTGCGATCATTCCAAAACATATCTTATATTCTTACCAGATGCATCTTTACTGGGCAACGCTATACTTTGGAAAAGTGTCCAACTGTCTTGTTCAGATAGGCATTCTGGTTTAAAGTTGACATATGTTTCTCCAAGTCCTGCGACTCTTTCATTTCGAGAAGTAAGTAGCACCTTCGAACCTGTAAAACATTTACCGTTTGGCTATTAGTAATATAACACAAAAAGCATAATGAGTTTTATTTGTACCATAAGATAAGAGGTCATCACCTGCTTTGTGTGGAAATATTGGCTTGATCATGTCCCAGTCTTCTTTTTTCCATATGTCATCTAATACGATTAATGAGTTCGATGTTTCTAACAGTTGAAAGAGTTCACCCTGGAGTGTAGCTTCTGTCATATTCTGGATTTCAATTTGCTCTTCTTTGGATCTGAAACTCTGCAAGATTGCTTGCCACACTTTCATCCTATCACAAACTTGGGAAACACAGACCCATGCGAGTCTATCAAACTTGTTTTTAACCTTGTCGTGATGAAAAACTTGTCTAGCAAGGGTGGTTTTCCCAAGACCACCCATCCCGGTTATGGAAACAACTTGAACATCATCTTCCTCCACCAAATATCCAAGTAATGTATTAACATTTTCTTCCATCCCCACAAGATTGCTTTCGTGCTTCGCAGCAAACTCTAGTCTTTGTTTAGAAGGTTGTGGATCCTTTACATCGTCAATAATCCGTTGTACTCCAAAAGTTTCCATATCATGAATCACCTTCAAGATCCTTTTACTTAAGCTTTGAATTTGTAATGCGACTTCCCTGCGCTCCGGAATAATGAAAGTAATTCTTCTGATACGCTTCTTGATTCCACCAGTTTTTCCGAGTTCATCTTTGAGAATAAAGGTTTCAATTATATCCTCTGCATCAAAAATGATTTCCTTGATCACATCCACACAATTTCTCACCATCGCACTTGTATGCTTTTTGGTGTCTGCATCTTTCAAAAATGACTTTAACGTGTTAAGATCAGTTTTTAGTTCAGTAACTTGATCTTTGACTCCTTGAAACTGCTCGTATTCATGGCTCAGAAGATCCCAAAGCTTTTGTAAAGCAAAGGACAGAATTTCCCCTGCCATATTTGTTCCTGCTTAAATAGTGTGAAAACAAGTATCAATGTAGTTTTTCTGAACAAAAATAATCGCAAAGAGTCAACATCACAAGTTCGAAGTGGCAAAAGAAATACCAGAATTAAGCAAATCCACAAAAACCCCAAAAATATTGAAACAGACCGTTAATCAAACTTTGGTATATGCATAATTACGGCTTGCTTTTTATAGCACTTAAAAAATTCAGACAAACTTCTTGTTGATAGCTCAAAAATCAAAAAGTCTCCAAGAAAATTCTATAAACTACAAAATCAAGAAGAATTCTAATTATGTAACAAAAAAATGACTAACCTCTTGAAGCTACCAAGAAAGTCTCCCGTCGTCACCCTTCGGAGGAAGAGAGATGCTCTTTCTATCTAAATTATGCACACATACCAATAGTCAATACTCAATACACATTAGGTGAATATATCATTTTCAACATTAAATAAACAAATTATTTCCTACCCCATGTGGCAGGTGCAGTGCAGAAATAACAACTTTTAATTTATAATCTAATCGTGACAAAAAAAAATTATAATCTAAAATTAATTTTTTGTTATCTTTTATTTTGAGGCCACTAATTTTTCAACAATAATTTTTTTTATGGATTACTTCTTTCTGTTACTCCCCAGTTGTCATTTCTATATTCTTATATCAAGCTACATGCTCCAGCTTAGAAGAACATTAGGTTTGGATACGTCATTAATTAAATTTGATTAGATTCGTTATCTATTTTGATTCGATTCGAAAAGTTTAGATCCCGTACGTCTTTGGAGCAAAACAACTAAATTTTGTAGTATATAAGAATTTCACAACCAAATAATTTTGTTAAGGTTTTCTAAATATTTGTTTGTTTTTAATATAAGTCAAAAAACCTATAAATCCGATACCAGTGTCTTACTCTAATCCGGCCGAAATTGCTTATGCTTAATTGTGTTTTTACTTGTCTTATAAAGATTCATGTTTAAATGCACCATTTTAAATCACTATGATATCCCCGTTTTTTTCTAAACGACATCCCCGTTTAATTGTATCTTTCTCACTATACCGAAGATCATTTTCTTTTGTAATCAGTTTTTTCATTAATTTTTGTAACTAGTCTTTGGGATTTGAAACTCCAACTTAGTAGTATAGAAAAATGAATTCTTAGTTAAACCATTGCACTAAAAGGAGTTCTGCGCTTATTAGTTAACTTTATGCCCAATGATACAAATCAATAAAAAACTATGACTACAATTATTCTTTTAAGAAAGCTTGACGAAAAACATATTTTCGAGTTAAACAAGTTTGGTTCTCAGCGACGGCAGAAAAAAAGGAAAGGAGCTTGTGGCTTCGAGTACCGCATGGAAAGAATTTTCATGGCCACAATGGCATTAGCTGTCTCAGTGTAATGAATCCCATCCCAGCTAATGAAACGAGATCCTATGTCACATACATTAGCGCCTCTATGTGCACATGTTATTCTCGCATTGTAGTTGTAAGGACTCCCTCCATATCCGCAACACGCCATTAAGGGTCTCTCAAAACCTGCATTGACATAACTAAAGTTAAGATTACAGCCATCCTTTTCGGTCACTGATGGTAAGGAGAAATGAGTAACTCTTCTTTTACCGTATGTTTTGGAATTTGCAATGAGACTGTATTTGATAGCGTATATGTCAATATAGATTATGGTGGCATCTCTTAGTTCAATCCTCAGTTTCTCACACATATGATCTAACATTTGGTTGAACAGTTTTGCCGCCGAGTTGTAACTGGCTAAGCAACCATGCTGGTCAAGATCTTTGCTCTGAACCATTGAAAGTTTCTGAGGTAGACAACCCAATGGACCCGTGTTGTGGATCCAGAACCTCCTTCCTCCTTCATCATACAATCTCTACAGATGGCAAAACCGGTTTTATAAAGTTTACATGGTTGCATACCAAAGTTCGGATAAGACTAAATAATTATTAACCTTTATGGTGGTTTTTATCTCGGAAATGAACTGTGGAATCAGCTTGGCCGTCTGAGAAAACGAGTTGCCTATAGAGAAGGACCGAGCAATGTCGTTCTGTCCTATATCAATCATATACAGTGCGTTTCTGAATCCACTCTCGCTTATGAACATCCCCTTTGATGGATCTAAGAAACATACAATGTTGACTCCAGTCAAGATCATTAATCAAGATCAGATACATACAACATTGATTTGGGATGAGGTAGAGTTTACTTGATGTAGAAGCAAGCTCGAGTGATTTGGATTTGAAATGGAGGAATTGCATCAGCTGAATGTTGAGTGAAAATGGCACTCTTTTGGGGAGAGTAGAGGATCCACCAATTGCGAAGTTAGCACCGTTTAGGAAACTTGATCCACCCAATGAATCTAAGTATGGCCTCAAGAGACTCGTATTCAAACTCTGGCCTGCGGAATTTGCAACCAACCACATTCCCTTGTTAGTTTAATTAATCTGTTTACCAAATTTAAATTTGAGAAAATGACTAGAATAGACCTAAAAAAGTTTTTATCAGAAATATATATCTTAACAATTAAAATGACCAAAATAACACTTAAAGTTTTATTAAATATACATTTATACCCCTTGGGTTAAATAATCCAAGATTTTTTGTTTAAAGTTGAGGAGTGGGGTTTTGGGGATAGTGTTTCGAATTTAAAAATAAAATTAAGAAAACTTAAAATTTTCAAAATAAAAAGTGCTATTTTGGTCATTTTAATTTTTGAGATCTATTTTTGTGATAAAAACTTAAAAAATGGCTATTTTAGAGAATTGCCCTTAGTTATTCTATAAATTTATAGTTTTTCATCTACAATTTTTTTATATTTCTATATTTCAGATTATGTTTTAGAAAAATAAGAAAATAATTCATAGTTTATATATTGTTTAAATTTAACTTTTGTATTATTTTCATTATATTCTTTTGTGTATATAAATGTATTTTTTCTTTATGATCTGACCAAATATTATAAAAAATTTAAAGTAAAACTACAGATATATTCCTAAATATAAATAAACAGCGCAATGTTTTGTTTGAATATGTTTAATTCTGTACGGAAGACATATATATATCCACTTCACTTCATACATTTCACTCCAGACTTGACAAGCCTATATTCAACACATAATGTACGAATTTAAAGGGAAATTCTCTAAAATAACCATTTTAAAAAGTTTTTATCACAAAAATAGATCTCAAAAATTAAAATGATCAAAATAGCACTTTTTATTTTGAAAATTTTAAGTTTTCTTAGTTTTTTTAAATTCGAAACTCTATCCCCAAAACCCCACTCCTCAACTCTAAACAAAAAAATCTAGGATTATTTAATCCAAGGGGTATAAATGTATATTTAATAAAACTTTAAGTGTTATTTTGGTCATTTTAATTGTTAAGATATATATTTCTGATAAAAATTTTTTTAGGTCTGTTCTAGTTATTTTCTCAATAAAACTTACTTCTACCATCATTAATTATTGAACTTTTACTGTACTATAGTTACAGATATACTGAAAATAGATTCATTCATGTTAGTGTTTATAATATGATGTAAATTATTGTTTGTTAAAGATATCTTTAACAGAAACTCAACAAGAATCTAACCAAGCAAACCAAAATGGAACCAAATTATAACTAATTTTATATCGTTTTGTATTTTTTCTTTTAAACCTATCGTTTTATATCATAACAGCGGGAAAAAAAAAAGCTGAACAGTAAACCCGACTATCCATCACTTAACGTGGCCTAAAGTCAGATGAAAAAAGGGTCAAACTAATTCATTCACTTTCTAAGATGTTGTACATGGGACCAACCTACTTTGTCGTACTACATTTCAATGACCGAATATGTCCTAACGAATCACACCTGGATCACCGACACTAATGTCCTAACGTGATCTGATCCGTACATTTCAGATGCAAACGGACGGTGGATCTGACAAAGTCACCACCAAAACAGAGTCTTTGTTTGTTTTTACTTACAGAGGAAATCAATGAGAAGACGTCCGTCGGACAAACGGCCTGTGGACCGACGAAAATATAAGCGTCCATTAGGTAGGCCGATGAAGTTACCGAGTCCAGCGACGAGGCCGCCTGTGTCGGAATTCGAATCACCGAAGTTAAAAATAACCGGCGGAGTCTGACAACCCGCCGTGACCGTTGCAGAGAGAGGCCGGAGACTAAGAAGAGCCAGTGACATGAATGTAACAAAGAAGAAGGAGAATGTATCGGCGTGGGAGAAAAGAATGGCCATTGGAGAGACCTTTGATACTGTGGAGCGATCTTAGCTGGAAATAATGAATAACGTTCTATCTAATTCTCTTATTTACTGACTTTTTTGACGTTTTTTCTTTCTTTTTGAAGGCATGGATGATTTTGTTTGTAACATATCTGAGTAAAATTTCCGTCACAAAAATCCAAAGTAATTTATGTTATTAATTTATTTTTTTAACCCTCATAAATTAAAGAATAATAGTAATACAAATTTAATAGTTATATAACCAAACATTTAACCATTTTTACTTAAAGTAAAAAAAAACTTAAAGGACAATTAATGAGAAACTTAGGGTTTGATTGGTAGAGCATTAGCATAATCTTTATGCTCTCTATTATCTAATCAATATTTGTCAAAGAAACATTTGAAAAAGCATTTACAAAATGTTATTTGTTCTCTAATAGAGTTTTTGCTGGAGCATTTGCATTTACAATATATAAAAATTTTAAAAATAATTATATATACTTAATTTATTTTAGTTTGATAATATAAAATAATTTTATAATAAAAATAAACTTATATTTTTAAAAATTATGAATATTATAATTAAATAGTTTTAAATTAATTAAAAACAATAATTCACATTTAAAATATAATATAATTTATATAATTACACATATCGTTCATTATTTTTAATAAAAAAGATAACATAATATATATTTATAAAATACAATACAAACATATATATATATATGTATATTAATTAGACACTATTAAATAAATTATATAACGTATATTAATTTTATGATAATTTTATATATGAATCATTTACTGATCTATGAATAAATAATAATAATTTATATATAAATTTCACAAAATTTATTTATTTATTTAATAAAATTAAAATACTTTTATATGCAAAAATAATTTAATTTTTTTAAAAAACAATTACATTTTAAATAATAATATTTTACATATAAACTATAATATAATTTATATAATGAATAAGATTCTTTATATTTAATGACAAATATATTATTAATATATATTATAAATGTATAATATATTTTAATAAAAATATATATTTTATTAACTATTATGATAATTTCAAAATTGTATACTACTACTGCTCTGCAAATCACTTTATTAATTTTTTTACTAAAACATACAGCTTCTGCAACATACTGCTTATACATCATACTGCTAATGATTTATCATCTGTCGTACCAATCGAGGCCTTAGAAATACTAATTGTCTATTTAGATGTCAAATTAACAACAAATATATTTACTAAATATAAGAAATAAAATTTAGATTTTAGTGTATAGCTTTTTGACTAAGATGTCATGGAATAAATTAAAATGTTTAATAAAAGCCAATATGTTACATAATAATTTCTCAAACTACCATTTAGTGGTTATCAGTCACATCATTAATACTTTATCCTTATATCTATATTTTCATTTACTAAATTCTCTCTATTTTCAATATCTTAGTCTTTTAGTTCTAATAATGTATTCAGAAAATGGTATACGTCAACGCTTGTAAAAAAACAAATTCCCAGTAAAATTGTAAAATTGTGGAAATGTAACTTTTTGTAGTTACTGTAATATTTACATATTTTCTCCCAAATCTTGTTATTTATCGAAACTGTCTTTTTTGTCAACCCATATTATACCAAGTTATGTCAGCGGTATAGATCTATAAAGGTTATTTATTGATAAATAACCTATTTTCACACCATAACTATCGTATAGTAACAGATCCACATGAACTTTGGGTCTTGTCTCAATTTCACATAATTAAACTATATTAATTTATTACTTCGCAAAATGAAAGATCAAAACTCATTTCCACACAGACGAAAAATTGAGTTTGGTTTTAATGGTTTATAACGCTAACCGATATTAAATCCTAACATTAGTACAACCTGGCCCAAACAAATCGATTATAACCCAATCCGAATTTGTTTTAACTATCCCCTAATCGATTTGCCCTTTTGGAACTCTAAAAACTAAAAGAAAAAAAATAAGAAAATAAAGAATACTAAACCTATTTTAAATCGTTCATCCTTCAAACTTTAGGGAAAATCGCGTTTCAATTTTTTTTTTTTTGGAAGAAATAAATTGATATAGTTTAGTTGTGTGCAATTAGGATAAGGTCCAAAATTTATATGGATTTGTTACTATATGATAATTATGAAGGGAAAATAGGTCGTATACCCATTATTTATCTTTTATTGGGTTGTGTTTATCGGTGTAAATCTTTTATGATTTTAAAAATAAAATCTTGACTTCACATCTCCTCTATGAAGCAAAAATAGAAAATACCAGAGTGAAGCAAGCATTGACCGCAAGAAACGGAATGCACGTGAGAAGCGTCCTTTTTGAATAACACAACGCTCATGTGTGATGTGTCCGGCTCTGCGAAATTAAATGTAAGGAATACACTCTCTTCTACTTCTGAAGGGTGAACCAGAAGTTTAGACTAAATTCCTCAAAGATTTATAAGTTTTCCGTTAGTAAAAGAAGATCACAATGCTCATAGCAAAACGAGACTTAGAAAATATGTTTTGTATTAAGGTTTCAAAAAAAAAAATATATATATATATATATATATATATGTTTTGTATTGAACCTTTAGTCAAAACAAGACACATGTTCTGTATTTCTGAAAAAAACTGCTATAGAATCTTGAGAGATATTGCCACTTTGATCAAAATATTTCGATAAAAAATACTTTGATCAAAATACTTGATACTACTCCTTATGCTAAATACTAAAAACACCTCAATAGGGATTCTATCTATTAGAATTCTTAAAATACATATATGTATATGTATATATTATATATATGTATATAGGTGTGGTATCCACTATTTTTTGGAGAACCCTTTTTAAAACCTTGCACTAAGAGTTTTTAGATAAGATTTTTTACAAAATAGTGGACTCAACATCTACATACTCATATATAATATTCCTTCCATTTCACTTTAATTGTTATTTTAGAGAAAAAATTTCATTTCAAAATAAGTATTGTTTTATAGTTCCAATGCATAATTAATTAGTTTAATCTATTTTTTATTTTTTATTTTTTATTAGTTAAAATGTGTTCAAGTGTATAGGTAATTGTGTTTTTATTTTAAAATTATATAAAATTAAATAATTTCTTAATGTATGCGCATAGACTTAAAATGACAACTAAAATAAAACGGAGGAAATATACATATATGTATATATGTATTTCAAGACCTCCAATGGGTGGAAATATTCTAATGGCTTCTCTAAATCATTACCCATGTTGGTTACAAAGCCATGTGCGTAGAAAAGAAAAGAAAAGAAACTTTTAATTCAATGAAATTATTTTTGGGTTCACCTCCTAGGGTGAATCTCTAAGTTCACCAACTAATATGATAGTATTATTTCATATTTGATATCTTTTGAAAAAAGAAATATTGTTAAGTTATATTATGTTTTTAAAATAAAAATAAAAAAAAATTATATAAAAATAATAATATTTACACAAAATGAAAAAAAATTCTTTAAAAAAATATTTTAACATTATACTATATTTTAAAAATAAAAAGATGAAGATAAGATAACAAACAGTAATAATTGCCAAAAACAATTTTAACTTTTTTAATATATATTTAAAACGAAAATAAAATATTGCTACATTATAATAAGTTTTTAAAATAGAAAAATAAAAATAAATAAATAACAGTATGATTGGTTAGTATTAATTTTTGTTGATTTAATGTTTAAGATTTTTCCAAAGGGTTTATGATTTACCCAAGGGTTTAGAGTTTAGGATTATGGTTAAGGGTTTAGTGTTTGTGTTAAAATATTTTTTTCTAAAGAAATTTTTGCGTTTTTTGTAAATATAATTAATTTGTATTTTATATAACATATTAAGATTTTATTTCATTTTTTAAATAATATCAAATCAAATATAAAATAACATCATCATATTAGTTGGTGAACTTAAAATTTCTCTCCTTGGATGAACCTAAAAATAACTCCTCTAAACTCTTAACTTCTAGTTGTAGTTCTATTAACTTTTCTAGAAGCTTTGTACCTCTCCCTCTTTTTTTTGTGCAACCTTTGTACCTCTTCTATTTTTTGAAATTGACCTAAATTGACCTTGTCGTCAAGACCAAATTAGAAAAACTGTTATCTGATCTTTTGTTCAATTCCCAAGGACAATCAAATCAGTAGAAAACTGTTATCTGATCTTTTGTTCAATTCCCAAGGACAATCAAATCAGGTAATCCCTTACACTTCACTAAAACCTTTTCTTGTCATGACTTGGGATATAGATCTTTTGTTCAATTCACAAGGACAATCAAATCAGGTAAAATCCCTTACACTTCACTAAAGCCTTTTCTTGTCATGACTTGGGATATAGCTTCTGTTTCAGCCAGCAGCACTACTTCTGTCGTGAGTTGTGGGGAGTATTATAGACATTGTGACCAGTGTGAGGTAAGGTACAGTATTGCCTCTTTAGATAGCTTGAGGCGATATGCTACAGCCTCCACGTGTGCATCTTCCAAATATAGAATATTAATTGTTATATGGATGATATGAAACAACAAAACCAAAGGTACATAAACCATTTCAAGTTATCACAACAACTCAGCAGAAAAGAAAAACATAAAAGATTAAATCAAATGCAACACTGCCAAACATCAGCTTCTCTATGGGTATTGTTAAGCCAGTTTACAATTTTCAGACGCTCCCAAATTATTTATGTTTCACCATCTTTCTCTACCTTCCCCTCTGCTTCTTTAATTTGATTCACAATTTCTGCCTTCTTCTCCATTAGAGCTCCTATTTTTTCATCGATCTTCTCCAGCTTCATTTTCAGCTTACCGATGTCATTACCCTTCTTCTCATCTTTTACTTTCTTTTCTTTCTTTTTATCTCCTTTTTTCTCATTTTCTTCATCACCATCTTCAGCTTCCTCTTCTTCATCTTTCGTCTTTTTCTTTTCCTTTGGTTCTTTCTTCTTCTTCTTCTTCTCTTTTTCACCCTCTTCACAATCATTTTCTTCCTCGGTGTCTTTTATATTCTTAGTTTTCTTGCCCTTCAAGTTGCCTTTCTCTCCTTCGGACCCTGGTTCTTCAAATTTAACATCTCTTGACAACACTTCAACTTCAAGGTTTTTCTCACTCTTCTTATCTTCTTTGTTATCTTTTTCACCTTTCTCCTTCTTCTTCTTCTTCTGCTTCTTTTCTACTTCATCCTCATCGTCTCCTTCTTTCTCACATATCTCATCAGTTTCCTTCTTCTTCGCCTTATCCTTACTCTTCTTCTTTTTTCCCTCCTTATGATCTTCTTTCTTCTCCCCTTCTTCTTCTTCTTCTTCTTCCCCATGCTCATCTTTCTTCTTCTTCTTTTCTTTCTTATCCTTGGATTCTTCTTTCGGTTTCTTCTCTTTATCCTTGTTCTTGTCTTTTCCATCTGCACCTGATTCATCCTTCTCTTTCTTCTTCTTTTTATCACCTTCTTCTTCTTCTAACTCCTCTTTCTGTTGTGATACATCCTCATCTTTCTTCTCCTTATCTTTCTTTTTCTTCTTGTGTTCCTTTTCTGTGTCTTCAACTTTTACATCAGAGTCTTTCTTCTCTTTTTTCTTCTTTCCTTCAGTTTCTTCCTCAGGCTCATCCTTCTCTTCCTTTTTCTTCTTCTTGTCTTCCTTACCCTTGGAATCTTCTTTCGGTTTCTTCTCTTTATCCCCCTTCTTCTTACCTTCCTTGTCATCTTCTAACTCCTCCTTTTGTTTTGATACATCCTCATCTTTCTTCTCATTATCTTTATTTTTCTTCTTTTGTTTCTTATCATCTCCATGCCCTTCTTCATCTTTCTCATGTTTCTTTGAAACAATTTTTTCATCTTCCTTCTCGGCATGTTTGCCTTCTTCTACCTCATCCTTTACCTTTGTCTTTTCTTTCTTCTTTTCATCTTTTGATTTCTCTCCGCTCTCGTCCTTTGTTTTAACCTTCTCAATTGACTTGGCCTTAACTTCCATCTCCACCTCAACGTTATCTCCCTTCTCATTTGGATCTACTTCCTGTGTCTTCATTGTTATGTGAAGTTTCTCTTTCGTGACATTTTCTTGGTTCGATGACATGGTTGCCTGATAGACAAAGAAGAAAATAAATATTTGTTAAAATAAAAGAAGAGCTACAACGACTAGTTGATATTGGCTAGTTGACCAACACTTTTTATCGACATATAGATAATCCAAAATTTAGAAAACTGAAATTTCACGATAAGTTTTTCAATTGTGTTTGATATAATGGTCTGAAACCAAAACTCAGAGTAGTTCATCAGATACATTAGAAGAAAAAAAAATATACGAAGTAAAGAGTAGCAAATTCATAAGGAACCATAATTGCAGATCTATTGAGAAACTAGAAATCCAAGTAATATTCATCAGAACAAGAATGAACTTATGTACCTTGTAAATTTCTTGTTGTTCTGGTTTGAGAAAGACGATCGAATTCTGTGTATTGGATCTGAGATGGGTTTTAGGTGGTATATAAGGAATGTGTCACACGGAGGTGACGTTGTATCCTACGCGTTGGTGCCGACACGTCTTTCATTTTGGTCATCGGGGCCCCCACTAACACTTTTTGGCTGTCCTAATCCTACTTTATCAACCTTTCACATTTGTACCATAAAAGACGTTTGACATCTGTGCAAATACGTTTAGAAAAAAACTTCGCTGTTGACCCAAAAAAAAGAACGAAAAAACTTGGCTAAGGAAACCATATGAAGATAAGGTTTGTTCTTCTAAACATTCAAGCATAAATGTTTCAAAAATAAGATTGATTTTTTTAAAATTTAATATTGCCTTCCAAATTTTAGTTTTATGATTTTATTTAGGACATGACTGGTTTTCCCGTTATTACCTGTTTTTTTACGGTTAGTAGTGGCTATTGACATTTTGCAACAATCACTCAAACTGTTCTTAATCAACTCAAACCTTTCTAAACTTCGTAAATTCAAAAGCTGGTTTCAACATGCATTTATGATTGTAGATGGTTAGAAAAGAATGAGTTTAAAAAAAAAAAACTACAATATATCTATCATATTTTAATTAATATTATTAATTTTTGAAAAAATTATTTTCAATAATTTTATTTTTTAAACTATAACTGTATAAGTATAATTTTATACTTATTATAATATTATGAACTTTAGTATTTTTATAATTATAAAAATGTAAATATTGTAATTTATATTTTAACCGCTATTGTATTTGACTGATATCCCGCAAACATACCAATTTTTAATTGCAGTAACAATCATACAAATCTATTAAAACTATAAAAAACAATAATCACTCGAATCTGCAAACTCCTACAACCGCAACCGCTGCGTTTGAATCAATATAATGGAAACAGTTTTTTTTTTCCTGTGCTACAAAGTCGGTGAAAACGAACAAAACAGATTCTGGAAATTATGTGATGATCATACGAATTGACAAGGAACGTTACCAAATGGAAACAAGTTGCTGTGAAGAGGCTGTCTAAAAAGTCAGGACAAGGTGAAGAAGAGTTCAAGAACGAGGTGTTCCTTGTAGCAAAGCTTCAAAATAAAAATCTTGTTAGGCTTCTTGAGTTTTCTGTCAAAGGAGAAGAAAATATATTAGTCTACGAGTTATTGCCCAACAAAAGTCTCGATCATTTCCTTTTCGGTAAGAAACATGTGATATACATATAGGTCTATATGTTTTTTTTTGTGTGTTTCAAAAAAACATATAGGCTTATATTCTTGAAAACTTAGTTCTTAATCTCTCAGGCTAATCAGTTGATATGTGGGATATGTTCCAGACCCGAAGAAGAGTAGTCAACTGGATTGGACAAGACGATATAACATTATCAAGGGAATTACTCGTGGGATTTTGTATCTTTATCAAGATTTGCGGTTCACAATTATACACCGTGACCTAAAAGCGGGTCACATTCTCTTAGATGAGGATTTGAACCCGAAGATTGCAGATTTTGGTGTGACTAGAAATTTCAGTGTGGACCAAACTGAAGCTACGACAGGAAGAGTGGTTGGAACATTGTAAGTAATTGTCCATAGTATGTATAAGTTGTATATCATTGTTGTTGTTGATAAAGAGTTGTATTTTATAGCGGTTACATGCCACCAGAGTATGTGACAAGCGGACAGTTCTCCACAAAATCTGATGTGTATAGCTTTGGAGTATTGGTTTTGGAGATTATTTGTGGGAAAAAGAATAGCAGCTTCAACAAGACAGACGGCTCAATAATCAACTTGGTCACATATGTTAGTAAATTCCAAATGCCTTTTCTACATGTTTTAGCAATGATCATGGCTTAACATTATTTCATGAATAGATGTGGAGGCTTTGGAAAAATGAATCATTGCTGGAAATGATAGACCCGGCCATGGAGGAGAACTATGACAGAAATGAAGTCGTTAGGTGCATCCACATTGGATTGTTATGTGTTCAAGAAAATCCTGCGGATCGTCCAACCATGTCTACAATCTTCCATATGCGCACTAATACTTCAATTACTTTGCATATGCCCCAACCACCTGGATTTGTCTTCAGAGTCAGATCCAAGTCAAATCCATTAGATGAGAGATTGCAATCTGGCCCGTCTACTAGTATATCGATTACTTGTGTTAGTCCTCTTGAAAGCTAGGCTGATGTTTGAGATGTATAGTATTTAACAAACTAATGATTAATGAAGAGGCATTGATTCAAAGGCCTAATATCAGCTAGGCCAGAGGGATAACCTAAAGATCTCATGTCTCCCATGATAATTTAAATTAGTTTTCGTAGAAGATTCAACTTCTGATTTAGTTGAACCAGATGTACTAAACACATACACATTATCCGAACCAACAATTTTTTTTTTTTAATAAACTGACAAAGGAAAGCTCTGTAATAATTCGCTTTTTTCGTGCTCTTATGTGACATCCTAATCTTAGTAGGACGTTATTATTACCGATACTAAAATATTAATTTACTTATTTTCAAAGTGAGATTTTGTTTAGCTCTTGGTTGGTCTTGATTTCAGAACATGTTTGCTAGACAGAAGTTAAGTACCGTATTTGCTCCTTTCCCTTTCATATGTGATGCATTGTTGGGTAGTTTTTAAGCTATACAGATCAATTTGAAGAAAACAACAGCAACATCAAATTCACTTGTGGAACAGTGGGGTCTGGTTTGAGATACATGACAATAAAGATCATCGGAAAAGTACTCAAACGCTTTCAACTGTTGAAAACATATGCACGGAAATATCTTCTTTTTATATAGTATATCGATCAATTATCTTAGTCCTTGTTGAAAGCGAGGCTGATGTTTGATATGTATTTTCAAGTCTCCCACGACAATTCAAATTAGTGAATTTCCCATTGATGTGCATGGCCATTGACGTAGAAAATTCAACTCAACCCTGACTTAACCCACACTCTTATCTCAACCATCTAACAAACTGACAAGAAAGCTCTGTAATTATCCTATGTTTCGTTTTCTTCACTTAGGACTCTTGAAGCGAAAAAAATAAATTAATTTTTCTTTTCATATTTACTCATGAGTTTGAACAAAGCTATAACATTGGGAGAGTCTATTAACTTAACTTTGTTCAAACTCATGAGTAAAAATCATGAAGAACTCAGAAGAAAAAACTGAGCTTTTATTACAAAGCAAAAAACCTCTGACGCTTTCTGTTGTTGAAATGGAGCTGATCCTCCCAATTTATCCACAACTCATAATCTTCTGTAGAAAAGGGAATGATCTCTGAGCTATGCTAATAATAACTCACCGTGCAGCCTTCCACACAAGCTCGCAAGTTATGCTCAGAACGGACAAGCACTATATATTAAAGATCGCTAAAATAAATCCTTGTTGAAGGAAACAAAACTGTAAAACAGAGTATTATTTTCTTTCTTTCCTGCCGGGCATACAAGGAAATGAAAAGTGGAAAAATCTTAGCTTAGACGAATCTTTGTTGATGTGTAATACTCTAATTATAATAACTTTAACATAGATGAGTTCTTTTTGTCTTCAACGAGGAGATACACTAGTAATGGAAGCATCATCGACTGAACATAGAGCAGACATATGCATAGATGGACCTGCTCGTCCTACTTCTTCATGCCTTCTTCTCAAGAAAAATCCAGGTGGTCGGGGTACGGCAAGAGCAATCGAACTAGTAGTGAGCATCTGGACTATTACTGACATAGTTGGACGATCTTCAGCTTCTTCTTGAACACACAGTAAAGCAATATGAATGCACCTGGTAATTTCGTTAGTTTGGTAGTTATCTTGAAAGGAAGGATCCACCAGCTCTAACGGCGATCCATTGCTCCACAGTCTCCAAGTCTGTTGAACATATTAATAATAATTATAACTCTGTTGAAAAAAGCAACAAAAACTTCAAAAATTTTAGGCTGTATACTCACATATGTAACCAAGTTACCAGCACTATCATCCATTTGATATAGACTACTATTCTTCTTGCCGCTGATAATCTCAAGAGCTAAAACCCCAAAACTATACACATCTGATTTCATGGAGAATTGGCCATACATGGCATACTCCGGAGACATATAACCACTGCCACAAAAGTTAAATGTTAAGTTAATAGACTCATGTACCGGTCTACAAAGGCAAGAAATGGCAAGAGGAAAACATACTAGGTACCGACGACTCTTCTTGTATTGGCTTCTGTTTGGTCCATCCCAAAAATTCTTGCCATTCCAAAATCTGCAACTTTCGGGTTCATATCAGCGTCCAATAGGATGTTACCTGCTTTAAGGTCGCGATGTATGATAGTTAGTCTTGAATCTTGATGAAGATATAGAATCCCTCTAGCAATTCCTCCTATGATCTTGTACCGTCTTTTCCAGTCTAACTGCTTTTGCATCATAGAGTCTGCACATGCGTATTTATGATGTTGAAAAAAGAAAGGCATGGAACTCGAAAAATATATTTTAGGATAAGTATTGAACTTAACTGACCAAAAAGGAAGTAATCGAGGCTTTTGTTGGGCACAAACTCGTAGATAAGTATTTTCTCCTCTCCTTCCAAGCAAAAGCCAAGTAGCCTTACCAAATTCCTATGTTGAAGCTTTGCGACAACAATAACTTCGTTTTCAAACTCTCTTTCACCTTGTCCTGATGTCTTCGCTAGTCTCTTCACAGCAACGTGTGTTCCACTAGAAAATGTACCCTACAGGATTGGGAATTGGAGTGTAAGATTAATCAAGAAGTACTTAAGTCCAGTTTGTAGAAATTAGCATTCATTATAAATGATAATGAAGGTAGATGATGTCAAGTTACAACTTACAAGGTTGCTACACTTAATCACATACATAGCGCATAGCGGGAATGTCAAAGTATGTGGGCGAGATTTTGTTATGGGATCTAAAGAGAAAACGAGATTTGTATTTAATCAGAAAATGCGTACAAGACTAGAGAGTATTTCTCTAGGGATCTCTCTCTTCCCTTTTTACAAATCTGAT